GTTGCCACGAGCGGGGGCTTCTCTTTGTTGCGGTGCCCAGGCTTCTCATTGAGGTGCTTCTCTTGTTGCAGAGCATGGGCTCTAGGCGCGCAGCCTTCAGTAGTTGTGGCATGTGGGCTCTAGAGCACAGGCTCAGTAGCTGTGGCGCACAGGCTTAGTTGCTCCGCGGCATGTGGGATCTTCCTGGACCAGGGCTCAAACCCGTGTCCCCGGCAGTGGCAGGCAGATTCTTAACAACTGCACCACCAGGGAAGCCCCCCTTTCATTTGGATTTTAATGTAATCTTTTCTTATTGGCCTTTTTCTTCACTGAATCTTGTGTTCTGGTGGCTTCTTTCAAATTGTACTGATTATCAGGTCATTCTAATTATAGCAAAAAAAAAAAAAAAAAATCATAGAAGAGAAGCAGTCTATCTTATTTCAGTGGTTCTCCAAGTATGGTTCCCAGACCAGTAGCATCAGCACCATCTGGAAACTTGTTAGAAATGTAAATACTTAGGACCCAATCCAGACCTCCCAGGGTGGTCCTCACCTACCCTGAGGTAGGGACCAGCAATCTGTGATTTGACAAGCCCTCTAGGTGATTCTGATGCACACTGAAGTGTGAGAACTACTGGCTTAGTGATTAAGATGTGAGGTCTGGAGTCAGAGAACCAGAGTTCAAAAACCAAATTTATACTCCATGCATGCCCTTGAGCAAAGTATTTTAATATTTCAGTTTCAATTTTCTCATTTTGCAAAGGGTGGGGCAGAAATGTGAGGATTATGTAAGATGCTGTATATACTTTACTCAGTGATAGTAGGACCTCTGTAAATATAAGTTCTCATTAATTACAAAATTGAAATTTAATTGCCAGAAATTTTTCTCTGTATACTTTCATGGATACAAAGAATATGAATAATGTGATACAGGCCATGACAAGCCAAAGAATTCAAATCTAATATGTATAGAGTATCCAAAAGAAAATCTGTTTTGATCTCCACAAATGCTTGTTGAGATCTTCTAAGACCCGTTTTTTTTCTCTCATTTTCTGTGAACCATTGAGCACATGCTTTTAAAAATCATTAGAGAGGCCACATCTGCATCCCTTGCAAGTAGGCATAATTTTTATATAAGTCAAAAATCTTTTCAGGACAAATCTTTAAAGATACCCTCAACCACCACCTCCCACTTCCACACACACACGCACACTACACACACACACACCACACACACACCACACACACACCACACACACACACACACCACACCACACACACACCACACACTACACACACACCACACACACACACACATACCCACACACACCCCACACAACCACATACACACACACCACACACAAACACCACACACACATGCCACACACACAACACACGCCACACACACAACACACACACACACAAACCCCACACCCCCTACACACACACACCACACACACAAACACCACACACACACTACACACACACCACACACACCACACACACACACCACACACACACACACCACACACACCACATGCACAAACACACACACCGCAAACACACACCACACACACACCACGCCCTCTACACACACTACACACACTGTACACACACACACAGCACACCACACACACACAAACACCCCCCACACACACGCACTACACACACCACAGACACACCACACACACACACACACACCACACACACCACATGCACAAACACACACACCACAAACACACACCACACACACACCACGCCCTCTACACACACGACACACACCGTACACACACACACACAGCACACCACACACACAAACACCCCACACACACACGCACTACACACACACACACACGCACTACACACACACACACACCACACACACCACATGCACAAACACGCACACCGCAAACACACACCACACACACACCACGCCCTCTACACACACTACACACACCGTACACACACACACACAGCACACCACACACACACAAACACCCCCCCCACACACACACACACTACACACACCACAGACACACCACACACACACACACACCACACACAAACATACACACACCATACACACACACCACACACACAACATACACACACTGCACACACACCATATACACACACCACACACACACCACACACACACCACACAGCACACACACACACCCCACACCCACACACACTGCATGCACACACCACACACACACAAACACCCCCCCACATGCACTACACACACACACACCACACACACACTCATACACATACACACACACAGACCACACACACACATAGACACCACACACACACAGACACCACACACACACACCACACACACACCAAACACACACACCACACACACACCACACCACACACCACACACACACACCACACATGCACACACACACACATTCACACTACACACACACCACAGACACACACCACACACACCACACACACACAGACCACACACACACCACACCACACACACATACACACACACCACACATACACACCACACACACACACCAGACACACACCACACACACACACCACACACACACCCCACACACCCCACACACACCACACACACACACACACCACACACACACACCACACACACACAGAGTAACTAGGAGGTAAAGGCTGGTTTTATATTACGAAAAGAGTCTCAATCAAGAAAGTTATGTGGCAGCCAGCAAAGCACCCCATTAGTGAGCTTTCTGCATTTTACATCCTTTCCTCTCTTTTGGTGAAGATACATTTTAACTACGGAGCAGAGCAGTTAGCATGGGAAAATGCAATGGATCATTCCTGAACTTCTTTCACAGAATTAGCCAAAATGAAATAGCATTCCAGAATTTGGTCTTACCAGGTGACAGCACCAGGATGAGAAAACGTACAGTACAGACTAATACATGGAAAACATGTATTAAAAACATAGGTGTACTACTTTCTTGAGCACCAGGTACCTAGTTCCTGTGACTTAAGATCACATGGTATATTTCTTGTTCCTAGTAGAGTCCAGTATGGGAATCCCTGGTCAAGGGTGATGGGCAGAGAATAGAATGGTTGTGATCCATGAAATTATTCAGGGACCCAGGCTGATGGAGATTTGTCATGTTCCAGATGCCTTGTAAGGCTTTCAATGTCATCCTTGATGTTGATATGCAGCCAACAGAGTGAACAAAAGAGAAAGAAAAGTAGGCCAACTTGCTTCCTCACCACTGTGGCCAGAAGGGACACAAAACATTTCTGCTCATATACTACCTGGTGAGGACAGGTCAAGTAGTCTACCAAGTTCAAGTTCAAGAGAGATATGAAATGTAGTCTCTAGCTAGATACTGGGTCTGTATACACATGGTTTACTTTCCAGGTTATCACAGGCAACAGTTACCAAATAGTTCCACAGCTTAACAAACTCTGCTGCTTTCAGCCTGCCCTGTCTGTGTTCTTATTGTTGCTGTCATTGTTTTTGCCGTCCAACTACAAATTATACCACATACTTTCCATACTTTACAAAAGCATCCCATTAAAGGTACCAAATTAACACTCACTATTGTCACTTACAACCTCTTAAATTTCAATGAAAATGTAACTCTTCCTCACATCAGTCCCAGGCCGGTAGGTATTCCTGATTGAGTTTGGCCCCAGCAGCAGAGAAGATCCAGACACATGATGACAGAGGAACCCAGGCTAACAGAGTCTCTGTCATCTTCTAAACAGAGCTTCCAGGGTGTCCTTGAGCATTGGCATCTAGCTGGTACAGGAGAAGATAGCAGTTAGAGAGGGATATTTATTTCTTAATCATTTGGGCTCACAAGTGACACACTCACCTCCACTCAAATTCCACTAAGGAGAACTAATTACAAGGGTCCACTTAGATAAATGCAATGGTAGGAGAAATGAAGTCCTCAGCTAGGCTGCCACTGCCCAGCAACATCTCTGCACCTCAAAACCACGCTCAAAAGTCTTCACTAGATAGGGGTCTCTGCCACAATGGTAAAATTGTTTTATGTGCATTCTATTTTAAAAAATTAAATCTCAAATTTATGAAGAAACAACTGTATCATTTTTTATAACCTATATGAGAAAAGATCTGAAAAAGAGTTGATATATGTATATGTATAACTGAATCACTTTGCTGTACACCTGAAACTAAAACAACATTGTAAATCAACTGTACTCCAATAAACTATTTCTTTAAAAAGAAACAACTATAAATAGTTAAAGATAATGTCATGGATCAAAATTCTACTGAGAGATGCATCCTGGATTTTTGTTTTATTTTATGAAAAAACACTGCTTGTAGACAATATTGATTCAAAAGACATTATTCCAAATGTATCTTTGTTGAGAAGATTTACAAACAGGAGTTTGGGAAAAGGACTTAAATAGGATTTGTCCAACTTTTCACTGTACAGGTGAGGACATCGAAGTTCCAGAGAACTGAGGTGACAAGCCAAAAATATAACGTTAGGCAGTGAAAATATATATCATCTTTCATTTCCTTTATATTATATGCCATCAGGGTGGTGACTTGAGGCATCAAAAAGAGGAAGAAACTAGACTTCTGACCTCTTGAATTTTAGGCTTCAGATTTAGAGATGATCAAACAAGGAGCCAGAAAAAAAAGGAATGGCAGGAGGAAAAAGTGCTCTGACAGGGCTTCCCTGGTGGCACAGTGGTTGAGAAGTCCGCCTGCCGATGCAGGGGACACGGGTTCGTGCTCCGGTCCGGGAAGATCCCACATGCCGCGGAGCGGCTGGGCCCGTGAGCCATGGCCGCTGAGCCTGCGCGTCCGGAGCCTGTGCTCCGCAATGGGAGAGGCCACAACAGTGAGAGGCCCGTGTACCGCAAAAAAAAAAAAAGAATACAGACTTTGATATCTAAGACAGGAATCTGATATCTAAGCTATCTTAGATGGATTGTTCTACCATATTAATATTAATATCTTATGTAAGTTCACTGCTTTTGATTCATGTATACTCTATAAAAATACAGAAAGAACAAAAACATTTAATGCATAATTTCATTTATTTATGAATACAGATTAATAAAGGCACAGTTTAAAACAGAAAAAGATATATAGAAAATATTTGATGATATTTTGACAATCAACTATTTTCCATATTCTGAGGCTGTGATTTTCATTCACAGTGAATCCAAATCTCTTCCCTTCATCTTCTGGGTGTCAGGATTTGTCACCCTTCCCATAAACAAAATTGAATCTAGGAAAAGAAAAAAAAAACTTTCGGAATTTCTGGAGAAAAAAATGACAATAATTAATATTTCTTAATATTTTAACAAATCATTGTCTTTTTTTCTATATACGGTAAATAAGCAATGTCTAATAGCAAAACCCACTCCTTTGTCTAAAATAGATAATTATATCATTATTAATCATTTTCTGATAATTTATGAAGTAAATTAACACCCACAACAGCTTGTCATGGAAAATGCATTAGTCCTGTTTTTCATAATGGAAAGCAAAAATAAAGTGACAGAGAGGTGTTCTAAATATAGAGACTCAGTCAGGCAAACTTAGAATAATAAAATGGTCATGAGCATGGACACATTTTAAATTTAAGGTATTAGCAGTCATCTCTTTATGCATGTAATATAAACCATTGGGGTTAAAAGTGCAGCTTCTCAGATCTCTTCCTTCAGCTCTGAATCAAAGCTTACTGCTAAAGACAATATTTTCACATCTCTAGTGCTTTCAAATTCTCACCGGTGATATAGTATAAAGCATAAATGTAAACACGTACACATCTATTTCCAGCCATTCTGTGTGTGCAAGTGAAAAGGAACTAAGAACTAGAGGACAAAACAGAAATAAATATGTTAAAATGCATTCACCGGGCTTCCCTGGTGGCGCAGTGCTTGAGAGTCCGCCTGCCGATGCAGGAGACGCGGGTTCGTGCCCCGTTTCGGGAAGATCCCACATGCCGCGGAGCGGCTGGGCCCGTGAGCCATGGCCACTGAGCCTGCGCGTCCGGAGCCTGTGCTCCGCAAATGGGAGAGGCCGAAGTGGCTCTATGTCAAGCATTGCCTTGAGTTATGTCCCTTAAAGTCACAGGTAATAAAGGTTTATTTCAAAAGTGATAAAATAAAATTTTACATAATTTTAAAGCTTACATGTATTTGAAATAACAATGGCAGAAATGAAATAAAAAGGAAGAACCCTTTTTCATTAACTCCTTACTGTTCAGTCCAAAGACAGACACAGTCTTAGAAGAGTCAATAACATGGAAATAGACATAATCTCTAGCAGATTTTTTCTTTTTATGATTATAATTAATAATATTTTGCCTCAAAATTCTCAGAATAATTCCCAAAACACAAGAAAACAAATACTCTATTTTTCAGATAGATAGAGATACATAAATAACTTCCTCAGGATGTATACTACATTTAGCCACAATAGGAATCAATAGTAACTCTTGTGTCTTTATAATTCTATGGCATTAAAATGCTTACCAGAATTGCTTGCTTGGGGAATTTTTAAAGTAACTTTCATAGAAACTAACCTCATAAATTGAAGATAATAGTTTAAAGTTTTAAACACTGAGAAGTGTAGGACATTACATAAAAGCCATTTGTCCCAGCCTTTTAAATCTGTTTTTCTGACCAAGAGAACCACATTTTGAGTGGAGTCTTCATGCAGTCACCAATCTACTCAGTACTAAATTGGACAGATTAGTGAAATCTTCCTTGACATAGTCACAGTGGATTCACAGGCAGGCTGAAGCAGAAATCATTGTTGTTTCCACATTTCTTTTCATGCCCCCACTTCTTAAAAAGTGTCCCTCATATTTAATCAATATAGTTATAAAACATCTCCATCAGATGGAAGCAGTTTTTACTTCATAATGTAAAAATACAATAGCATAACCAAAGCTAATGACCTAGAAAAAAAGATTTCTTAGTGAATACCCTGCAGTCTGCGTCTCCCTTCAACCCACGACCTGAAAAAGTTATAAACACAACATTTTTTCATTATGTATGGAGTACTGTCAGTTTCAAAACCATGATTCACTACTTTCTGAGAAATGGCACATTTCATGTAGCATCTTTGACGATTTTCTTCTGAAAGTCTCTAACGCTGGCCTATACCCTCAGCCTAAAAGAAGAAAAATTGTTCTTCATTTCCCTAGAAGTTTGGCTTGGTAAGAGGTTTGGATGAATATACTGAAATATATATGATAGGAAGTCAAATACTGATAGGAAAATACAAGTAATGTATGGATTTTGCATAAGAGGATTGTTTGACCAAAACAAAATTTAAAATTTAGGTAAAAATTGGTTGTACTAAATCTAAACTTATTTACCCTCATACTCCAGAAATTGTCAAATGAATATATTTTATATAAATCATTAAGCCATTTGGTAGTTTACTACACCGTGCTAAATCACCAGCTTCGTTAATCCCAATGATTTCTTCAGTTCATTTGTGAGAGGAAAAATAAATAAATCACTGAATGTGTATTGTCTTAAGGTAATAACCCATTCTACATTTTATATGGCAACAATTCACAGCCTCCAATAAATGAGTGGCCATTCATTTTAAACAATACTTTAAGGGAGTAACCCTAGTTTAGAAAGTCTCATTACAGTAGAGATCATAAAATAGTGGAAATTGTCATTACGGGTCTGATAGTTAATTATTATCATAAATAAGTGAATTATTTTGGGTTTTGAATTTTCACTGCTGTTTAACTGATAGCTATTATATGTCCATAGTCATCAACTTGTTAAATAAAGAGTAAAACATCATTACGCTAAACACCATTATTTCCTAGTGCATTGATGCCCAATGAGCTTCATTTCTTTCTGTTCTCCATACTCAATAGTTACACACTGATGGCAAGAAGTTAGAGTTACCCTAAGGTTAAAGATGTATAGATCAAATGACATACTCAGAATATCTCTTAACACTGACACATCCGCTACTAGAATTGAAGTTGTGTTAATACAATCTCAGCAAATCTGAAACTGTCCCATTGTTTCCAAGATATAACTTTCAGAAAGGTCATTCAGCGTTAGTTTCATGGAACTTAAAAAAAGAGACTGGTATATCCCTTAGGGGGCCAATAATATTAGTATTGCTAGTTAATCTAACAGATTCAGATTCTGAAATTAACTCTGTCTCTTCTCCACGTAAAACAATTTATATAGCGAAAATTTCCATGTTTCTTCCTTCATTTATTCAGTCGTTCACTCATTTACATTTATTGATATATTCACAATGAACACTATGTGCCAGGCAGTGTCACAGGTTTCATATATTCTTTTATTTAACTCTGTGAGATAAGTACTAATATTATGTTCAAATAGGAGGTGGGGAAAATAAGGTTTAGAAAGTATGTGACTTGTCTTACAACTATTAGTCCATTAAGCTGGGACTTGAACCCCAAGTCCAAACCTTCAGTCTCTAGGGGCACTGATATTAAGTGCAAGGCACTTTGCCAAATACTGGGCTGGATAAAGAAATGAATAAGATATAATCTCTTTTCCCCTGGTTTAGAGTCCTCACATGGGGTTATGACTCCAGAGAAGTCCTAAATATACACTTAAAGAAAGTTTCCTCACTGTATCCACATTTCTGGCCTCTCTTTTTCACAAGAGAAGTTGCAAAAAACATCTACTCAGACAATCTGCATTTACGTTGCCATTGTGTCTAACGCCAGTCCAATCAACTACTACCCCTACATTTTGTGCCCCTACCTTTTGTGCATTATCTTTCACAATTGCCCAAATTGGAGACTTGGAACAATATTTGACTCCTCCATCCCACTCAGAGCCTATAGTTAGTCACTTATTCTTTTGGAATCTACCTATGAAACCTTTCACAACTGTGCAACTTCCAATTTCCACTCCCATTGTGGCATCATTGAAAGAAAAGTTGACTTCTGAAACAAAAATGTCTTATTCTCACTATGCCACTTTTCAGTTGTATGACCTTAGACAATCTACACAACCTCTCTCTGAGCATCTCTGTCTTTATTCATCAAATATCTAACTTATTGGAATGGTGTTAGCTGTCGAGATTGGTATTTAAAATCACCAGCATGTATAGTAACTATCTCGGCAGCTATTACTACTATTGCTCTATTTTAGGTCACTGTGATCTCTTAAAACACAATGCCTGGTACAGAACAAGCACTCAAGAAATAGACACTAAAATTTTTTTGAAAAATATTAAAATAAATTCAATAAATTGAAAGAACAAATGATTTCAGATGTATAGACTGAGATTAGCAACTAGGACTAGGTCTATTTAACTTAAGCAGTTCCTCCAGGGAATTCTCAAAAAGGTACCTGTTGGGTTATTCTTCATAATAAACAGAAATGGATGGTTTGCTATAAATTGGTTTCGAGGCAGACTCATGATCACAGGGACGTGCATGCCTATGAAACAGAGACAACAGTTATTTAGATGTGCACATTAAAAGATCAGTAAAGAAAATATATCCATAATATCCATACTATTTTTTGTAGACAGGAAAGGTCATTTTGTCTGAGAAATTAACATGTGGAAAAATAACCATTTTCTAAATACAAAGAAATTTGGAAGAAATTTAAAAATCGAAGATCAGAAGAATAAATATTGGATTACTCATTGAATAATTCTAACTTCACATTTATGCTTAATGAAGAAAAAAACCAAAACTAGTTTCAGTTTAGTGAAAGCAGTTGAAAATTTCATCTTTTAAGCAGTAACTTTCTGCTCACTTTTTACTTGTGTTATATGATTTATCTCATAATTTTTCAACTCCTAATTCCTATCCAGGTATGTTTGTACTTTATTTCTATTCTCCAGGCTTGTAGTAATCACATCTGACTTCAAATTTATTTTTTTTAACTTTTCCAAAATTATTCTGTGAGCTCAGAACTTTTAGGATTTGTGCTGTGAATGTGTATGGGATTTTTATTATGATATTAGAAGTTTGCTGCCTTAACAATTATTTACTAAAATAATTTGTATCATGCTTCTCCATTGTGGCATTTATCAATATTTCAGAGTGGATAAATTTAAATGGCTGGATTGTTTTTCTTTCTAGATTAAATATTCCTGCACTCAATTCAGATGTTTTATTTACCAGCAATGTAATAATTTTGTATAATTTTTTCAGACCTATGAAAACGGTTTTTAAAATGCAACACGTGATCAGAATTGAAAAACAAATGTAGAGAAGGAAAAAACTATTCCTCTCCACTTTTTGTTTGTAACTGGGGTGTGCAAATTAAACTGACAAAAGACAGATTAACAAAATCAATGGTTTTATTTTGTATCCACACAGGAGCTTCACAGAAAAGAAGTGAATACCCAAAGAAGGGGTTATATCATTTTAACAAAAAGTGGTAAATTGTGGAGAAGTGACTACACAAAGGAAAAGGGGTTTGAGTGTCTAGCGGTGGTAAATTGTGGGAAGGTAAATATATGGGGAAAATTAATGGTATATAAGGATTATTTAGTAAGGCTTTCTTATGCAGACTCATATCACTGCCAACTTTCATCTCCTATGCCAAAGGTTCCTTCTCTTGGCATGGAAGACAAGAAGGGAGATACCTCCACAAGGGAAATCTATGCCCTGATTTTAGACATGTAGGAGGAGGGTAGAGAGCTCTTTTTGTATCTGCTGTTTCTCAACTGCCTTCAGCTCAAAATAACTCTTCTGCAAAAATGGCATATTTGGGGGTGGCATATTCTGATCCCCTGCACAATCCAAAATAACCTTAGTAATACTAAACGCATGGCATTCTTCTACCTGAAATATAAGGGCTATATGATAACCAAATTACCAGTGAATATAGACTCATGTCTGAATTAATGAGATAATACAGAAAAGCATAGTCAGGATCACGCCCATTCTCATTTGGGTGAATACTTGAGTTCTTTTGTTCCTGAGCATCCACTGAGTAGATGCCTGAAAGTCAAAATACTCACACTAACTATTTAAGTGTGATACATCAGGGTCACTGCTGATCCCTTAATGACTGTTACATCCTCTTAGAGAGCTCTACACTTAAAACAAGAGGCATCAGGTGATAGCAGAAAGAGTTCTGAACTTGAAGTCAGGGAACCTGATTTCAGTCCAAACCCTACTGTCTATTATTAGCATGACCTTAGGCAAACCACTTCACACGTGTGCCTGTTTCTTCACCGACATAATGAGAAGTTCAGACAATGATCTATAAGGACTCTTCCAATTCTGTGTAAAAGCAAGTGGAAATTTTGTCTACGTGAACTAGCAACTTCATCCCAAAGCCACCTTTGATTTCTCCAAGGATTGTAATAGCTCATCCCCTCCAATCTAAGTTCCTTGAGCACAGTAATGCAAAGTCCTTCAGGAGATGACAAAACAGTAGTGGGAGTCCAGTGTGCCCCACCCAGATGTCAAAATCCATCGCCATTACATAGCATTATAAATTAATCAAGAAATTAATAATGTGGATATAAATTTATCAATATGACTATTTAAAGGATGCATACCTTTTACATACAGGTTAAAGTCATGGTCTGAAGAATTAAAATAGACTTATGAGGAATTCATTAAAGTTGCCCTTCCATTTCTAATTGAAATTAAGGCTTTTCTCCGATTATTTTTTGAGTATTACTTTTACGCAGCACAGATACTATTCAAAATGTTCAAGGAAATATATCATTTGTTCGAGGAAATATATCATAGAAGTGGTTCTCAAGCTGTAATATGCACACAAGTCACCAAGAGACCTTGGAAAATGCTGATGCTGGATTAGTAGGTCTGGAGTTGAACCTGAGGTTCTGCATTTCTAACTAGTTCCCAAGGGGCACTGATGCTGCTGGTCTATACATTACACTCGCAGTTGCAAGGATAGGCTCCAAGTCACTGGAGAGCAGTGTTTCTCAACCTGGGATTCACATTGTTATCACTTAAGGAAAGGTAAGAAAATACTGAAGGCTGAATCTCATCCGCAGAGATATCGATCTAATTATTTTGGGGTGCGGTCTGGGCACAGAATTTTTAAAAGCTTTTCAGCTGACTCTAATGTGCAGCTAAGTTCGAGAGCCATTGCCATAGAGATAACAAGAGTTACATTAGAAAAGTAGGGACTAAGAGTGCAAAGGAAGAATGAAATTAATACAATTTCTTACAAGTGAACATTCCTGAGCAATCATGATTTCAGGTTTGAGCCTACAGTTTTCTCCACGGGTCCTGTCTGCTAATGGGCAGGTAATCCAATTGACAAATAAGTAGATATCAGTAGATGAGCCTCAACTCGTAATCAAGTCCCATCCCTTTTCTTTTGCCTTAAGCTCCAGCCGCACAGATGCGTAAATAGCTTATATAGCCATTTTTCCCTTCCTTGAGTGTACTGGACAGCAGGAGGAGCAAAGGAGATCAGAGGACCACAAAGTGGCAGCATCCTCACGCTCATTTCCTCCAGTCCTTCCTCCTGGCTTGCTGTGACATCATTTGTCCTACCAGTTGATGTTGCAGCCTCACTTCCATCTTCGTTTATCTCAAAGAAAACTTGTTGCATGACTTGGGAAACATACACCTCAGAGGAATCTGTAGGAAAATATGAAAGTGCATTGAAGGGTTAAAACTCAGGGCTATTACTTATTGGATCCCAGGTGAATTACATTTTCAAATGAACAAAGAAAAGGAAAAAAATCCAAACTCTTTCCAAGTTAGTTAATTTGCTAGAGATAAATGTGGTTTAGGTTTAGCTTTTGCAGAGATGATGTAGAGAAGATATGGAGAGACCAAGTTTAGCTCAGATAGAAAAGATAAAGATAGAAGGCGATAAGCCTCAAATCAGGTACCCCACTAAGTGAAATATTTGAATGGACAAAGGGTTTTGCCTGCCTTAGTCATGGTCTACAGGCAAGATGAAAAAGGCTTTACAGATTTGAATTAATCCCACCCTATGTCTTCGACCTCAAAGCCAACTTGCCTTTTAATTCCATATTGGGTTTTGATCTGAGTTTAGAACAAAATTTACCTTCCTTCGAGACTGATGAGGCGATAAAAGTCTAAAGAGCTTTTGTGTCATCTGTTACAAAATAGCTTCAGAGCTATGCTTTAAAACCTGTCAAATTTCTCAGTGTAAGATAGTGTCTTAATAACGTTTTGTTCCGCAGCGGAAACAAACTGAGAGAGAAGGCCTCTCTCCTCCCCTGGGTGGAACTGATGATGTACGTGTGAAGCGTTTCCGGTACAGTGACCTGTGAAGAGTCTCCTTGAGAAGGGGGAGTGAAATCATGAGTTCAGAAGCCACCTGCCACCCCTCTGTGTCCAGACCAGATAGATCTGACAATGTGCCTCAGAGAGACAACGGAAGGGTGGTCGTGAGTTCAGTGGTGGCGAAAGGGTGAGGAAAGGAAGGCGAGCCTTGAAACTTGAAGAGAAAGGAGCTTTGTCCCTCATGAGAGAGAAAGCTGATGTGATGCAGGTGGACTCCACCAAGACGACCGAACTTAGAAGGATTCAAGAAGAAATAATTTAGTCAAGGGGAACCAGCTCTGACAGCTTACAGAAAAGTAAATCCCCTCAGGCAAGATAGAGAGAAGTCATCAAAGGGTTATTTGCGTAAAAAATGGCTTCCCAAAAATAACTCCAAACTGCTTGTAGTAACTCTGTCTGGGCCCCTGATTACCTCTCATCCTCATCTACTACCCTCCTCTCCGAGTCCAGTAGCTCCAGCTACAAGGTCAAGCATCAAGACTTTAGCCCCACCTCTCCGGCTGCTTAAAATCCCTTTTCCCAGAACTTTCCCTGATTGGCTCCCTTGTTACTTAGGTCTCAGCAAAATGACACTTCCTCAAAGCAATTGTCCCGTCTCACCATGTCTAATTCTGCTCTTATCTGATCTAAATCTCTTTATCCCATGACTCTATTTTAGTTAATCCATAGCATCTATCACCTCACCATTTAATTAATTAATTACTTGTTAATTGTCCATCTGCCCTAACAGATGTAAACTTCATTAGAAGAGGGAATGTGTAGACTTTATTCAACTCTAGAAAACTGCCTGGCACATAGTTGGCTTTCAATAAATACTTACCAAATAAATAAATCAATGGATAAGGCTATGTCTAGTGATAGAAACATGTAAGATGGAGAAAAGGGGGCATCCACATCATTAGTGTGGGTTAACTAAAATGCAGGAGTGTGGTTTTTTAAGGTCATGCAAATAAGCACGTTCTTTTCCCACAAATGCCTGGAATAAGATGGGATTCACATATAGAGCACAGAGTAGATGACCAAGGGGCTCATGCAAAGAACGAAGACCGAAAAGCAGGTTGGGGTGGAGTGGAGAATTTCACGCATGCAGTTTAGCACTGGCACCAAACCAAGGGACTCCCTGGCCATTAGACTGAGCAATTTGGTCTTCTGTATTCCATCTTACAAAGAGGGGGCCCGGTCTTGGAAAAAGAACAGGACTTGGGAGATGATAGATTAGAACAAGGGATCTGAACTTCATAAACTCACTGGTTTCTACATCTCTACAATAATTCTTTCCCTTAATTTCCTATGAAAATTCCAAGTATGTCTTTGTCAAGTTAAGGGGACAAGAAACTTTCAGTAGCTTTGCTAGAAGATGTGCAAGTAAATATTAATGTGCCATTTACTCACTTTTTTTGTATTTAACATTTACTGAGTGTCCACTATATAACAGATGTTGAACAAGCTGATTTACATATATTCTTTTTTTCCACCACTAGGATATATTATCTCATTTAATAGATTAGAAAGTTGAAGTTCAGAAAGGTTAAATATTTTACCAAAGGTGACACAAGAAGTAATAACAGTTAGAAGTCAAATATTCATCGCAAAGTTTCCAAAATAACTCTTTTGAAAACATTTCATTCAAAACTTGTGAATGACATGAGTATAAGATAGTGTCTTTTGTGTAACTATCACACAGCACTAGCATTGGACTGGTTCACAGTAGCCTTTAGCAAATGTTTATTGTCTACTTACAAATGGTAAGTAGGGATGGCAGGGAATTAATTCACTATTCTCCTGAAGAGCAGAAATAGTGCCAGTCTTGACTGTGGTTGTTCTATTTCAGGCAATAAGACAGAACCAAAGAATCAAAGTAGTTAAAACAACTCAAATAGGCAACTCAGAGCAAAAAATGTTGGACATTTATTCTTTTCTGTTCAGGGTTATTCTCTTGCTTTTATAAAGCAAGCATTTTGGAGGTATTTTCTTGATAAATCTTCTTGTAAAAGGAGATTTTATAGAAGTCACAAATCGCTGGGAATTTGCAGAGCGAGTGGCTGTTTGAAAGTCTGAGATATAGCAAGTGAGCTTCCGAAGGCCAGAAAGAAATTTAAGAGGAAGAGGTGTTTAAAAAATGGCTTGGTTTATTTCAAGTTGGTGAGGTGTCTGCATTCCAGGACACACTTAGATAGCATCCTGTTGCAGTATTTAATTTTGACTGTCTCATTTCTGATGCTGATGACATTGTCAGAGAAGTCAGATCTGTCTGGCAGTGTGAGAACTAGCAGCTAAATCATGCGTGAAGGTGATAATGAACAGCTATGTCACCTGTGTACCCCACCCACCTCCTCCGCCAGGAAAACTCATTCATTCTATTCATTTACTCACATAATTGATGAGTGCATAAATTAATGAATACTTCTCCAAAGCCCAAATTTTATATAGGAATACACAATAATGCTGGGTTATGATATCCAACCCCATCAGACAGACAAGCCTGTATCATTAGGACTGTTGTGTTTTTTTTTTTAATATATAAAACAGAAGACTGAATTTTAAAAAGGTAGATAACTTAGGACAAATTGGCCCTCTTCATCCATTTTTTTTCTCTTTAGTTATTTTTGAACTGGTGGGTACTGCCAGGATGAGAAAAATTAAAGACTGTCTTGGGCTTTGTTGTGTAAGTAAGTGTCTTAACTGTACACAATTTCCCAGGTGCCAGTTAGCATAAAAGCTCCATCTCCTCAGATATGTTGTCAGTCTCAAGCTAAATCTACAAACTGCAGCATTACAATTTCTAGATTGTGTTCATCATCCAGCAGCTTGTGGATGCCTATTTCATGGCCTCTAATATTACCGAATTAACATTTGCTAATTGGTTTATAAAAGTTTTATTAGCTCTGCTTAGATGAGAGCCTCAAAGTTGTAATTCCCATTATTCAGATAAGGAAATCCAAACAGGGCTGGAATAAAAGCCCATATAATACTTTTCCTACACAGTCTCACTGTAAGCGTGGTTAGAAGTTATCTAACATTCTATAATGCTGTCTGACTTTCATTAAGCAAAACTACTTAAGTGCAAAATAGAGTGCTTGTTTACAGACAGCTTGACATGACTATGACATTTATTCTCTGTGTATGTATCTTCTGGGGCCAAATGCTCTCTCAGTTTTAAGATCAGTCAGTTAACATCATTACTAAGAAAACATATTTACATGATAATATAAGAATAATTTTCCATATTACCTGTTATTCCAGAAAGGTCACAGCCACCACTAAATATCTCAGTTATATTCAATGAATACAAAGCTTCTTTGAAGTCTAATTTTTGTTCTACTTTAAATCTGTTTTAAAAAATGAAGAGGAAAATTTTTGAAACACTGTACACATTTTCTACCAAAATGATTTTTAAAAAATGGATGACTTGGAAGAGATTTTATTGTGAAATATTTTGTTTTCATTATCCCAGTTACGTTTCCTCACTTTTCACACCATTTTTCCCCAGCTCCACTGAGCAGTTCTGAGTTGCTAATAACTTGTTTCCCAGATAAATGGTTGGCTGGGAAGGGAGAAGCAAATACTCTATTTTTTGAAGTAACACCTAACAAAACAGGGTGAATTCTAGCTAAGTTTTCAATTATTTGCTTCGTCGCTAGAAATGTAAAGCTTCCCTCCAGCAACTATACACACTCAGATTTTTCACAGCATCAAAGATGGTTCCTGGCAGGCATCCAAGAGACTATGAGCCAGAAACAGAAGCCAACAGTCCTTAAAGAAGATTGTTGGCTACTGAGGTACAGAGAGGGGGCATTAGTAACCTATGAGCTTTCCCATCCATTGTCACAGTTGATGTGACTCCCTTCAGTTTACAGACACACCTAACATCTTCCCCCAAAGCCCTGTATTTTACAGGTAAAAGATTGAAAAGGAACTAAATTCCTTTCCAATAAAGTAAAAATTATAGGAAAAAATAAAAGCTGGCCAATACTTCTAATTCAGGGCCCTAAGTTAGGACTCCAGATTCTACGCAAGTCTCCAAGCCTCGATTTGCCTGAAGAGGGAGCTTCACCAAAGAATCTCAAAGATTCTCTCAGGTACTGATCTTCTATGGTTCCAAGTCAACAGCAATCAGTGACCCTCACTTTCCCATTTCAATAAAAAGTAGGGGGGGGGGGGAAAGAAGCTAGTACTTACTGGCTTTAGAGATGCTAAAAGCATCCATTTACATTTTACAACCAGGTTGGAGACTTTGTTTATGAAAGAAAAGAGTCTAAAGTCCTCCAACAGGGGGCTACGCATATTTCCTACCTCAGGGAAATCCCAGGACAGCTCCTGCCCAAGGAGCTCTGTCTGTGCCCTAGCTGGGCCTTTGCCCCCGTGCTCCCTGCTTTGGATGCAGACACGATTGTCCAAGCACAGGATCCTTGCTTAGCTAACAGGTAGGCCCACATCTGGGGCTAAAAATTAGCTTGTGCAATCAGTCTAATTAGATCATTGTTTTAATTGCCAAATACTGAACAAGCTTCTTAATTATAGTTCTTCCAAACAAGGAACATGCTGTGGCAAAAATCTACTGGCCCTAAATTATTTCTTGGTAAAATATTATGCCCTTTTGGAAGATGTTTATTCATTCAGAACCCTAGCTAACTGGGGATGGGCACAGCTCACAACATGCACATTAAAACCTACTGATAATGAAAATAACTTGTTTTTTGCCAATCATTTTCAACTTTTTCCTTTTAACTTCCTGCTAAGAAAGATAATATGCAGCATGATGGCTCTGAGGCTTTGGGGTTGTTCTTTTTTTCTATTTTCATTACCACACTTTTTTTTATACTGAGTGGAGTACGGGCTTCTAAAAGGTTGAGGAACAATGTTCTAGTCCACCCATAATTTGGCTATTTTTAGTATAATAGTGCAATGATTTGGGGATAATGACAAGAATACTGCAAGACTTATTACAACCTCTAATAAGGTCTAATCATACCAGAGAGTCATTTAAGTAACAGTCTTGCTCATAACAAAGTCCAATGAAACCTACAGTGATAGAAACCCATTCAACCATTTAATAAAAGTATAATCTACGGCCGATTTCTAATTAGCCATAATTATTGGAGCCATTAATAGCCAGGTGTGAAGCAGCACTTCCATGTGTCAGCAGTTAATATAGATCATGGTTTTTAATCTTCACAAAAACCCTGGGAAGTGAGCATTATTATTCCCATTAACATATAAGAAAGTGGAGGCTTTGAGAAGGTTGATTTTCAGACTCAGGGACAAGATAGGAGACAGGGCTACGATTCAAATGCAGGTCCCTTCCAAGTCAGAGCTAATGTGCTAACTTCCACTGCCTTCTAATCTAAATATAATCCAAAATCGTAATCTCAATCAATACAATATGTGTAGTGTTAATTGTGTACCTCTTCCAAATTTTGTGAATCTTAATATTTATTCTAGATGTGGTTCATTTCCTCTTTTCCTTGACTCTCCTCTAAAATTGTCAAAAAAAAATACAGCTAAAGGTAAAAGAATGAGGAGCAAAAGGACTGGATAGACAATTACCAACCAATCATGAAATGAATGTTTTAGCATATGTAAACATTATCTGCCTCCTTAAAAGGCAGCAATTTACTGCCATAGGCTACCATTGTGCTTAAAGGGGTCTCACACAGCTTAAAGCTGCAGAAAATGAAGGGACACAATTCAGCATTTCTTTCTTTTTTTCTTTTTTGCGGTATGCAGGCCTCTCATTGTCGTGGCCTCTTACGTTGCGGAGCGCAGGCTCAGCGGCCATGGCTCACGGGCCCAGCCGCTCCATGGAATGTGGGAGCTTCCCAGACCGGGGCACGAACCTGTGTCCCCTGCATCGGCAGGCGGACTCTCTACCACTGTGCCACCAGGGAAGCCCCAATTCAGAATTTCTGTTTGAAGAAGGAGTTACTCCTGGTCTGCAGGCCCTACTGTGGATTGGTGTTGTCTCTTTCTTCTCCTTTATACCCAGGACTCTTGTTTAATGACAAAACGTCTTCAACTGATTTCCCTCAAGGTTCCTGTCCTTATTGTTTGGAATTCCATTTTTGATACAGTGGGCTTGAGTCATCTTTGGAAGGTTCAGGCTTAGAAACAACCAAGTCTTAGGGCTGCCCACAAGGATAAAAATATAACACAATCCTTGACAGTGGTGGACTTGGACTATTATGTGAGTACCTAGTAGTTTCTGGTCACGTGTGTGTGTGTGTGTGTGTGTGTGTGTGTGTGTGTGTGTGAGAAATATTCCATTGGCCTCAAGGGCTGAATTAAAAATGCTTTCTGTAACATAGGAAACATATCTGGATAATGCTTAATATAAACTTGGATTCCAATTTGTATCAGTGTTTGATAGGCTAAAGTGAAAGAACATTTACAATCATCATTGCAGCTGGTCATGACTTATCTATTCTCACACCCAGCCTCATTTTTCCTGAGGTCACTTTATCTCACCCACACACAGTTCACATTCACACACTTAGAGATCCAAAGCTGTTAGTTTGGGATTGACGTATGTACACTACTATGCATGAAGTAATTGGCTGGTGAGTGCCTACTGTATAGCACGGGGGGCGGGGCGGGGGTGGAAATAAGGTACAATCTCTTTGCAGGACATATATTAAGTTAACCTGAAAAATGCATTCAAATATACATTAGGTGCAGACAAATACTGTTTGATTCCACTTATTTGAGGTACCTAGAATAGTCAAATTCATAGAGTCAGAAAGTACACTGGTTGATGCCAGGGGGCGGGTGGGGGGGGCGGCAGGGAGGGATGAGGGGCAGGGGGAGGGGGAATGGGGAGTTAGTGTTTAAAGAGGACAGAGTTTCAGTTTAGGAAGGTGAAAAATTTGGGAGATGGCTGATGGTGAAAGTTGCACAACAATGTGAATGTACTTAGTGCCACTGAACTGTGCAGTTAGATATGGTTAAAATAGTATGTTTTATATTATGTGACTTTTACCACAATAAAAAAACATTTAAAAATAAAATAAAATAAAAGAGTAGTATTTTGAAATACAAATAGCTACAGTTACAGCAGCTAATAATAGTAATTAGCTACCATTACTGACTGCTTGGAACTATACTAAGCTCTTTACATATATCATTTAACCTTTTAAATGACTTTATGAGGTACAGAGTATTATTATCGATTTGCAGATGGGGAAGCTGAGGGTGTGAAAATTTAAGTAACTTTCCCAAGGCTAAATAGCTACTCAGAGGTGGAGCTGGGATTGAAGTCCAGAACTGTCAGACTCTAAGATCATGTTCTTCACCACTGTACATATCCCTTCTGAGCGTGTCTCAATAATTGTGCAAAATAGCACTCACAGTCAGTAGAGAACTTCCCAGAGATGCTGCCTTGTAGGAGCAAATGGCTTTGCTCAGTGGGATCTACCAACTTGCTAATTACATTGCATACAACATCCTGAGGTTAAGCAGGGGTACTGGTCAAAGAAAAGAACAAAAAGCCCACCAAAGACAAAGGCCACTGAGCTAACCAACCACCAATTCCCAAGGGAATCCTGACTTCTTATTCAGTCCCACCCCCCCACCCCCCACCC